TGATATGCAACTTTCTCCAAATATAGTTCAAATATATGTGTTTTAATAAAAAAAATGTATATCCAAATTTTAATTCACCACATAATTGTAAAATGAACAAAATGTTACACCGTCAACTTCAGAAAGGCGGCTAAAATCAGACTAATTATGTACAATCATAAGATGACAACATTTCTGTTCTAGAAAGGCAATAACATTTCCTGTAATGTTGCACAACTATAATGCATTTGCCAACACAGTGTTACAGGAATACTATAACAGCATGAGAAAGCGGTATGAAAGTGAATGATGTGCAACAGAAGCCGAGTTACTGTGATAGTGTGAGCTGAAATTAAATTCCATGTTTTGCAATATTTTTCACATTCAAGAGTTACATGGGGTGGTAAAAAACCATCCTGCCAGAATGCCATTATTGCTTAGGGATTCAGGGGAATCTAATGTAGCATCCAAAACCTGTGAATTTGTGATTATCATAGCTCCTGTTTGCAGGATCAAGGTGTTTACAGACTCGAGAAGAAATCAGTTTGGGAAACCCAGAATTTCATTCCTCAGAGGCTGGTTTCTGCGCAACGTCTGATCCCCAGAAGGGAAAAAATGTGTTATTTCTCAAAGGTTGTGGAGTGTTTTACAGGTTTACTCAACTTCATCTTAGATGCTTCTCTTAAGTTATATAGGATAAAAAGATTTAGAATTAAACTGAGAAAACTATTGATACAGTAAGAGTGCAGAGTTGTATTGTACATTTTTATACCATACACTCATAAAATGACTTTTGCTTCTTGTTTAAACTTTAAATGAGCTAAAAAAACACACACAATTTTGAGTTTTTTCGGGACAACTTAATTGTTTTATGTTTAATACACCTTAATTTGTAAAAACGATAAAGTTAACTCAATCAACCAAGCATTTTTATCAGTGTACACTTTGTTTTTACAAAGTTAAGTGAATTGAACATATAACAGTTAAGTTGTCTTAAAAGAAAACTAAAAATTGTTTCAACTCATTTTAAATAAGTAGTTTAAACAAGCAGAAAAAGTAATTTTTTGAGTTTAGAAATGATTAATTTGATTAACATTTCTGAAACTATACAGACATTAACTGTTGATGATGCAAAGAAAATTACCAGCAATCAATTACAAATATGTAATTTATTTTTTATTATTTACCAACTTATTATAACCCAATATATGAGGAATTCCAGCGTTATGGATGTGACATTTGCAGTAAAAAACTCAAAACATAAATTTACATAGAAAGTATTTGTTAACATTAAATTTAAACAACTGTTTATATTTCCAGAACAACTGACCACAGAGTTATGGGTGCAGACAATTTTCATTTTTGTGAACATGTTTTGTACTTTAAATGAAGAAAATAAACATGCGTTATGGATGTGACCAATAAAGTCTGCGAGTTTACAGTATACAACATGCTTCGTAGAAATTCTGTAAATTAAACTGCACAACCCAAAAGAAATAACAGTCATCAAAAAGATAAGAGTTGGCTCTCTATAGAAAAAAAATTATTGATTTTATTTATTGAATATTTTTGCATTTATAGGGAAAAAGTGTTGTTATGGTTGTGACATCTCTCCGGTATGCAAGTGACAGATGTGAAATTGCCACTTGTGTGACTTTGGTAAATCTAATATAATAGTTTGAAAACATTGACAGATACATTTGAGTATTTTTAACGTACTTTAAAATACCTGCCTACACAAAAAACTTTTCCCATATTTTGGTGAAAACTTTTGCATGGAATTGCTCATTAACATTTTCTTGCTTTGTTATTTTTTTTTTGTTGATTTCTGTTGAGCTTTAATCTATTTTAATTTTAGTTTTCAGTTTTACTATTAGTGATTATTATTATAATTACATTTTATCTAATATTAATATATACGTTTTATTCCAAATCAATGAAACGGACACAGTTTTAATTAGCAATACCACATTAGCCACGCTTTTCTAAAAATCAATTAATCGCATAAACTATAAATTGCATTACCCCAATAACGCAGGTCAATAATCACATTTCCATTCCTTTCACTACCATTTATGTGACATGAAAGCCAGCAGACAGAAAACAAAATGTTCAATTAATGCTTTAAAGTGCACCAAAAAACAAATATAATGCATTTGCCATTTAAAAGCCTCTATTTGTTCTCAAAGTGCAATATTAAAAGGACCATTACAGTATTTTTCCTGTGATAAGATTTCTAAATTCAGCACCAATTTAGTCGACTGCGTAAAACAAAACAAGCAATATTGCTTTCTATTAATAGTCAGAAAACACAACACAATCATAATGCAAAGTCTATAAAACTCGCTGATTTAAAAACTGCACTGTCAGGCAACTCATTTACAATCCAATTTCCCTTCGCATCGTGCAGAAGCTAGATTCACGGCTATTATAAACCCAGCGTGGCTCTGCGGAGATGATTTCCTAAGCATCTTGCATTATGAGACACTCAGAGAAATACATAAATGCTTAACAGCACCATCTAGATTGAGCTAATCTTATTCTTCCGCTCGCAATGCCATAGAGGCACTAATCATTCTAGGACATCCCTAAACACGGACACTTCACTCCTCCTGGCTCCCAGAAGCCCTTGTGCTAATGGCTTTCAGAGCTGCTCAGAGACACACATGGCTTCAATTAAAAAAGCACTTGGGTGTTAAATGAGGTGAAATAGGTGTCCCGACAGAAACAATGGTTCATCTTCAGCTAATAAAACTGAAGTCTTATTCAACGACAGATATAAAAGACTCCGTTTGAGGTGCATCAGAGAAGCTGAGCTTCAAAAATTGTATATTAAGTTCTCGAATAGGCCGGTTCAGCTCATGCTAAAAGATGCCATAGCTATTGAAGTGGTTTAGTTTGCAAATTTGTTAGGATATCTTGATACCTAGAGGAGCTTTCATTTCTTTTTGGATCAAATTAGCATTTTCCAATCCTCGACAGGGTTTAATTTCTAAAGTTGAACTCTGATGTTGGTCCTCGAGGGGGAATTTCTGGCATGTTAGTGCAGAATTATCTGGTGACACACTTCGCCCGATTAAGCATGGATTACAAATGGATTCTTTCTTAGGAGTGCTGCCAAAAATAAAATGAAGGAATCAATTATAAATTCATTAAATTATTAATTAAATTGGTAATATTTTCCCCCATGCTTTCTCTATATAGTATTTGACAATCAAATTACAATGCCATTGGAATGTTTATTATGTGATGTGCTTGATCAAGTTATAGCACTTTAGCATTTACAAGACATTTAAAGTCATGCACACAACAATGGCATTTTTGTTTTTTTGGTGGGTCAGAAACAAAGGCATTTAAAGATGGGTTAAAAAGTGCATGTGAAAAAATAAATGCATTTAAAAGTAGCAGATTTTTGTTGTTGTTTTAATGTATTTTACAAATTTATTTATGCTTGTGATAGCAAAGAAAGAATCATTATAGATGGCTTCACCATATTTGATCAGTTAAATCAATCCATGCTTAAGTATTAATTTATTAAAAATAAATCTTAAAAGATGCTGAAAATCTGAACAACGGAGTTATAATAATAATGTCAGCAGATTATCTCTTTTATTTTATGGTAGCACTCCGAAAATCAAACCCTCCACAGAAATAACAGAATGCTAACCTTAAAGATTACTGTGATTAATATTGAATGGGAAGTGCAAAGTAAAAAGCGATTAGTTACCTGAAAAACGGAATAAACCAATTGCCTTAAAAGTGGTTTTACCTTAAAAAAATATGAGCAAATCTGTTGTAAACTGTAACTGTTACGTTGACAGTTCATATAATTTTGCATACACACTGTGTGTTTCACATATGAATTTAACATGTGAAAGCATAAAAAGTATAAACACTAAATATATACACTCACCGGCCACTTTTTTAGGTACACCTGTCCAACTGCTCATTAACACAAATTTCAAATCAGCCAATCACATGGCAGCAACTTAATGCATTTATGCATGCAGACATGATCAAGACGATCTGCTGCAGTTCAAACCGAGCATCAGAATGGGAAAGAAAGGTGATTTTCCCAATTTTTGCCTTCTCTCACAACACATCCAACCTTGAGATGACCACACCGGGTGCCACTCCTGTCAGCTAAGAACAGGAAACTGAGGCTACAATTGGCACATGGTCACCAAAATTGGACAATAGAAGATTGGAAAAACATTGCCTGAATTGATGAGTCTCGATTTCTGCTGCGACATTCGAATGGTATAGGGTCAGAATTCTGGCTGCTGGTGGTGGTGTAATGGTGTGGGGGATATTTACTTTGGGCCCATTAATACCAATTGCTGACCATGTCCATTCTTTTATGAACAAAGTGTACCCATCTTCTGATGGCTACCTCCAGCAGGATGACACACCATGTTATCAAGTCTGAATCATCTCAGGTTATTTGAACATGACAAAGAGTTCACTGTACTCAATTAGCCTCCACAGTCACCAGACCTCAATCCAATAGAGCACGTTTGGGATGTGTTGGAATGAGAGATTTGCATCATGGATGTCCAGCTGACAAATATGCAGCAACTGCGTGATGCTATCAAGTCAATATGGACCAAAATCTCTGAGGAATATGTCCAGTACCTTGTTGAATCTATGTTGAATAGATTAAGTCAATTCTGAAGGCATAAGGGGGTCCACCCTGGTAATAGTAAGGTGTACCTTATAAAGTGGCCGGTGAGTGTAGTTCATTTACTTTAACTAATTCACTCCCTTTTTAAAGTCAACTAATCTCTTTTTACAGTGTGGGATGTACAGTATGTCATATGCACACACAACAAGAAGCTCATCTATTGCTTCTTCATCAGATGCTGCATGAAAAAGTGAAAAGACAGGTAGAAAGGAGGACGAAATAAATGAGAGAAGGCAGTCGTTTGATATTCCTGCCACTTCTCTGACTGAACTCAAGGCCCTGCTGGAATTTAACCGGATTAGAGGAAAGAGGAGTGAAATGTTAAACTCTGTCAAACCTTTAGAAGAGTCTGAGCAGGTAATGGTGGTAAGGACTTGACCCGACCAGGACGTTCTAGCGGGTCAGATATTCGCGGGATTCTGCCATCTTGCTTCCTGTGGGGGAAAAAAAAAACTCCTCAGATCTAAGCCAGAATCATTAACAACTCAGTCGGATCAGAAACATTTGGCACATTTTGTCATGAGATTAAATTAGGAATGCTCAGCATCATTGATCATTCCAGCTGAGATGGAATTGATTAGTTAGCATGCAGTACAAGATGCAGAAAAAGCCACAGGTGTGTATGGGAGTCAATGCAGACTGCAGCTCAATGACACACACACACAGCTTCGTTTTTATCTGCTTCCCTCCACTGGTCTGTAATTTGACTTGAGCCAGCGACTCACTTCAAACACATTATTTCACATCACACCGACTGCTCTCAGCTCGTGTGGCTTTTATCAGTCGATCCTAAATCAATTAAACGTCCCCTGTCATTTGGCACACAGGCTGTTCCTCCATGCCAGTCTGGATGAATGTCTGTCTGAAGGCATGCATTCATTTTAATTGCTTTGCTTTATGAGCTGATGATGATACATCCAGCTCAACTGAGTTCTTCATCATTACATTGAATTTAGCTTGAGGCAGTACTGAAGTAAATAGGACAACAGGACCATAAATATGATTTTGTCAAGAGGTTTTGGGTCTAACATGCATGAATAAAAGTTATTTATTAGCAACTCCCATAGAGTTAGACTGTTCAGTTTTACCATTTTAGAATCATTTTAGCCAATCTCTAGGTCTGACAGGAACACTTTTAGCTTAGGTTAGCATAAATCATTGAATCGCATTAGACCATTAGCATCTTGCTCAAAAATGATCAAAGAGTTTAAATAATATTCCTGTTTAAAGCTTGAGACTGGGTATTTTATCATTACATTGATTTTACTTTGAGGTGGTGCTGAAGTATATGGGACAACAGAACCATGAATTTGATTTTGTCTAGAGGTTTTGGGTCTAACATGCATTCTTAATAATAAAGGTCCTTTATTAGCGCCAATTGTTCTATTAAAGGAAAACCCTGCTGTTTTAAAAAAAAAATAGGCTTATTATAAAACTCCCATAGAGTTATAATGTTGAGTCTGATAATTTTAGAATCCATTCAGCTGATCTCCAGGTCTGATTGGGAGCATTTTTAGCTTAGTTCAGCTTAGCATAAATCAATGAATCTGATTAGACCATCAATTATATTCCTATTTAAAGCTGGAGACTGGGTATTTTATCATAACATTAAATTAAGCTTGAGCTGGTGCTGAAGTTAATGGGACAACTGAAGCATGAATCTGATTTTATTTAGAGGTTTTGTGTCTAACATGCATTCTTAAAAATAAAAAGTTCTTCATTAGCGTTAATAATTCCAGTAAAAAAACACCCCACTTTAAAAAAATGGGCTCATTTTACTACTCCCATAGAGTTATAATATTGAATTTAATAATTTTAGAATCCATTCAGCTGAACTCCAGGTCTGACAGGAGCACCTTTAGCTTAGCTTAGCATAAATCATTAGATCAGATTAGACCATTAGCATCCCACTCAAAAATGATCAAGGAGTTTCAATAATATTCCTATTTAAAGCTTGAGACTGAGTACTTTATCATTACATTGAACTTAGCTTGAGGTGGTGAGGAAGTTAATGGGACAACAGGACCATGAATGTGATTTTGTTTAGAGGTTTTGGGTCTAACATGCATTCTTTAAAAATAAAGGTTCTTTATTATCATTAATAGTTCCATTAAAGAAAAACCCTGCTTTTTAAAAGAATTTGGCTCATTTTACAACTCCCATAGAGTTAGACTGTTCAGTTTTATAATTTTAGAATAATTTTAGCCAATCTCCAGGAGAACTTCAAGCTTAGCTTAGCATAAATCATTTAATCGGATTAGACCATTAGCATCTGGCTCTAAAATGATCAAAAAGTTCCAATAATTCTCATATTTAAAGCTTGATTCTTCTGTAGATACATCATGTAGTAAGAGTGATGAAAAAAAGTGCTATTGTCTAGGCTGATAGTGCCTATGCAGGAACTACACTCTCATTACATCAGCTTTTCTGCTGAGCCATGGCTGTAGCCAGCACTATGACATTAGACAGCACCAATAAATGTTTGTCAGATATGCCCAATGTGCAAGCAGGTAAGCAGCGGTCAGCCATTGTACAGCAGCAAACTTCCTTGATTACTATGTATATTTAGTTCCTATACACTTCATTTCATTTTTCTTGTCGGCTTAGTCCCTTTATTTATCCGGGGTCGCCACAGCGGAACGAACCGCCAACTTATCCAGCAAGTTTTTACACAGCGGATGCCCTTCCAGCCGCAACCAATCTCTGGGAAACATCCACACACACATTCACACACTACGGACAAATTTACCCTACCCAATTCACCTGTACCGCATGTCTTTGGACTGTGGGGGAAACCGGAGCACCCGGAGGAAACCCACGCGAATGTAGGGAGAACATGCAAACTCCACACAGAAACGCCAACTGAGCCGAGGTTAGAACCAGCGACCCAGTGACGTTCTTGCTATGAGGCGACAGCACTACCTACTGCACCACTGCCTCGCCCTTCCTATACACTTCTAAACATATTGGTCTAAAAAAAGAGCAACTTCTCATTTTTCATCAGTCTCAGTACATGTTGTAACTACAGAAGACTCAAGATTTACATAGGAATTTTACAGAAACTCTTTGTTTATTGTTGAGTGAGATGCTAATGGTCTAATCTGATTCAATGATTAATGCTAAGCTAAGCTAAAAGTACTCCCACCAGATCGGAATAGATCAAAAAACGGTAAATTCATGAGCCTATTTACCAAAAATAAAGTGTTCCTTTAAGACCAAACCAAAAATGAAGAAATAACGTTTATTTTTGAAAATGCATTTGGAGCAAACAATCCACTAAAAGCATTTTTAGTGTAAGATGATCTCTAGTGACCTCTGGAGGTTAAACCTCAGCGATTTATAAACTGAATGCATCTTCAGATGGCAAGCCCACAGGTCATTCAGGCACTGTCTGATGGATATTGCACACAAAATTGGCAGGATGTTCTCGAAACCTTTTGCCCTCAAGTTATTGGCTGACTTTACACAATTTCTAAGAGTCAAAGTGGGCAGGTTTTATCAAAAGATGGTTTGCTGGGAAACAAAGTCGCGCTTACAAATTCCCCTTGAGTCACAATGAGCACTTTTGAGGAGGAACTAACGACTGGATTCTTGGCATTTTGGTGAGGCTTGCCAAGCTTTTGCCATTGAATCTATGAAAGAATGGAGTTATAGAGATACACATGCAAAATATACATACTTAAAATGGTATCAAAGTTTCAAAGCATCAAAAATCAACTACAAGGGTAATAAATAATATTTTTTAAGCATGAATTTTTCATGCATTTTTACAATGATTTACTCAAAGAGCCACCAAAATGACATTCATTGTAACAATAGATTATTCATTCATTCATTTTCTTTTCGGCTTAGCCTCTTTATTAATCTGTGGACGCCACAGCAGAATGAACCGCCAACTTATCCAGCGCTTATCATACGCAGTGGATGCCCTTCCAGCCGCAAACCAACACTGGTAAATACCCATACACTCCCACATTCCCACACATACACAACGGACAATTAAGCTAATTCATTTCACCTATACCGCACGTCTTTTGGACTGTGGGGGAAACAGGAGAACCCGGAGGAAACACAGGGAGAACGTGCCAACTGATCCAGCCGTGGCTTGAACCAGCAACCTTCTTGCTGTAAGGCGATCATGCAACCCACTGCGTCAGTGTGAAACCAACAATAGATAAAAAAAGAGAAGAGAAAAACGTTCTCCTAGTTCACGCGTCTACCGCCAGAACTACAGTGTGTGTGTGTGTGTGTGTGTGTGTGTGTGTGTGTGTGTGTGTGTGTGAGTGTGTGTGTGAGTGTGTGTGTGTGTGTGTGTGTGTGTGTGTGTGTGTGTGTGTGTGTGTGTGTGTGTGTGTGTGTGTGTGTGTGTGTGTGTGTGTGTGTGTTCCTAACCTGTCAGCTGTTAGCTCAGCGGCTCTTCAACACGCACTTGCAATACTACACTGCGTTATAGAGCTCACCAGACTGGCATGAAACTTAACAGGTATGTAAGTCTTGCAGTTTACAAAAATGACACAATAAAAGTCTGTTATTGATACTTTGCTGGCTGATTTGCTGTTGAATCTAAATCGTGAGCCATTTATGTTTCATTCCGTGTTTAGTATTTACCACGGTTTGTGTTTTTCTGTTATTTCAAAATGTCACCTTATTTTCACTTTGTCACAATTATTAAATCAGTGTGTTAGTGGGACAGTACAGTAGGTTGTGTGTGTGTGTGTGTGTGTGCCAAACATTTTGGTGTACTACACGTGTTTGGGCTGGTTATATGTTTGAAAAAAGAGAAACTGTTGACTTTAGCGATGACGAAGCTTCATTTAAACGGCAGAAGATGCTGTCTGACAACGATGGGAAAATGCCTCACAGCAGTTGTTTTCCATCCTATTAGATCGCATATTTTTAAATGATCAGTCCAGGAGGTGGTGCTGATCGACAACAGTGTTAGTTCAAGATGATAAAAGCAGGTTAAATAGATTTAAACCATTGTTTCAAAGCTGTCTAAATGTGACTGTTTATACACATCAGCTGCCAACCGGAAGTTCTTCGCATTCTCCTTGCGGATACAGGCAAATCATAATGGGTAATTTTGCATTCCAAGAAAAAGGTTTATAGTGTGTCCACAATTGTATCGGCATGAAATAAACAAAACAAGTCTCTTTTTTAACGTTTTGTGATGTTAAAATAGGATTTAAATCCCAGTTATTTCAAAGCTCACCACAGCGTGACGCTGGAGTGTGGTTTTACCCACCCACCGAATTGATTGGCAAGTACCATGTTTCTAAAGTAACAAGTAAACATCTACAGAACACTTCTATTTTTTTGGCAAAGAAACTGGTATTAAAATATCTGTTCCAAATTTTAGTGATCAGCTGCATCTGAAAAATTTGATTAATAACATTTTTAAAACAGCATGTTTGTAATTAAGACAGTAAAATCG